TTCGACGAAGACTCGTCTGATAATTAATAATTTTACACAAACAACAAGTAACTACGTACCTATCCCGAACAAGTGCTTAATTATTGAGTGGTCCATTATACGAGTACACATGTTCAGGCACGTACGGAACAATAACATCAACAACAATAATATTATTAATTGGTTTTATTAGTTTTTTTTTTTTCGTCTATCATACATAATGATTGCAAATCGACCGAACATGCGTGTGGCGTTCAGAATACATCACGCGCAGATGAGGTACGTGTGAAACTCAGTATATAACGTCGTACAAGTTGCGGTGATGTCACAGTCGATTTGCTGAACTCGCAACGAGCGATTTGGCAATATCTATATTGCCGCCGTACTATATTGTGCCTACGCGTAGTACCTACTATACACATGTGTTTTACCATCCGCAATTTATAAAAACAAACTATAATGTTTCAACGTTGTACATCGGGCCGTCCGGTTTGCAATAACAGGTATGTATATGCAGTATAGTATAACTACGGTTTGTTGCAATGTTCCAAGTCTTTTTCACGGCTTCTCGATCAAGCGTTTTTCAATTCTATGAGTATATATATACAAATAATAATGGAAAAATTGTATTTAATTAATCATATAGTACGTCTGATATAAAACATATTGTAATAACGATTTGTTTGAAATAATAATATCGTCGGAATTCGATGACAGGACTTACAGGTATTTAACTCATAATTAAAACAGATGGCACAGCATTTTCACTAATTTACATTTATAGATCACAAATGACAAATTAGCATTATTTCTTAAGGGCTTGGAATTATTTTTATCAAAAATCAATAAGTATTTTTAGTGAACCCATTAAAATAATGAAAAACTCGAATATTAATAGTGAATATTTAATTTCTATGGCGAAAAATGGATTTTTACCTTGCGTAAACAATTTCATTGGGGTCTCGGATCACTTTAAAACTTTTTTGTTGGTCATATATTCATAGAAAACATCGATTCCATTAAAATTATCATTAATATATTAAGGTACAACCAATATAAATACCTACCGCTATATTACAATATTGATTTTATCCAATAATGAAAGAAATACTCATAATAATTGAATTCTAAATAAAATAAACAATCAGTATTATAAAATGTTTACTAAATCTATCAATGAAAACTAACTCCACTTTGATTTATAAAGAACTTAAAGAAAATAATTTGAAATTTAATTAATATTAATCAGTTATCGTTGATTTACATGAACATTTAATTTCTCTGTTAGATCATGAGCACAATATTAAATATAAAGAACATTATAATATACTCTTGTCAAATCTTAACAAAGCTTTTGATCAAACGAGTATGCTGATATAGATTTGAATGTATGTCGTTCATTAAATATAAAATGAAAGAATTTTAAACACGTAATGCTGTTTAAAAAATGTTTAAATATATTTAACATAATAAAATGTACATAAAATTTAACTTTTAATTTTCATTTACAATATTATCAATATTATCTTTGTTTTTTATGTATCTATTACACTTAATATAATAACGTTTGTCTATTCCGTTTTGTTAATTAGATGGTTAACGGTTGTTTTGTATCGATGCATGTTGCAAATGTACCTATTAAATTGATAAGAACCGTGTCCCCAGCGTAAACTTATTGGGGATGGCGCAATATTTAAATTAAACGTTTGTAAAATATTGTTGAGATTATAACGTTGCAATAATGTTTACTATCATTAATCTAGATTGGTACCGACTGAAGCGATCGATTTAGCAACGTCACGACTCAATCTTACCAAACGTCTAGAGCGAGCTTTGGACCGTTACTAAATCTCGCGAGGAACTGGATTCGTGATTAAATCGTACCCTTGCGATTGCTCGCAGCCGCTGCAATTGCGATGCCAGCGATCATTCGCGCACGTTAATCCCGTTGGGCCTTCCTCACACGGGGATACTCAAAAGAAACTGCAATCGTCTAGGTAATAGGAGACTGGGTGACTAGGCAACTACAGTTGCTGGTTATCTTCACACACAGTATACTAAATTTTTGTTTCTAGATTTTTAAACTAGTATCGCCCTACCATTTCGACAGTACAGTTCAGTTTTTCGTATTATATGTGTTCATTGATATTTATGCAGTAAATAAATTAAGATAAATACATTTTTTATAATGTCTAGTAGTGATTCGGGTAGCGACGAAGAAATCATTTTTTATCATTACTATAAACACCACTTAAACAAACGCAGAAGAAAATGTTGGATCAATCATTATAGCTCGGGATACTTTTCTATTTGTTGCACAAATTTTATATTAAAATTTCGATCGATGATGTATTATTTTATTACGCACGAAATAAAAATTACCAAGCAACTGGATCGACCAAAGTAGCGAGGAGACCGGCATGTCCAGTCGCCAGTTGACTATTCGCGTCAGTTTATCAGTCGCGGCGACTTTAGTAGCGCCGTCTGAATGACGTCATTCAAACACACACGAGCAGTCGCCTAGTCTCCAAGTGCCTAGTCGATTGCAGTTTCTTTTGAGTATCCCCGTGTGAGGAGGGCCTAAGTCTGCTCGGCATCGCCGCAGACCGCGTTTCGCGCGACGTGCGTTGCAGTTCGCGGTCGTACGGCAGCAATGTCGGCCCGGGCCGTCCGGTCCGGCTGCGAAGCGAACCGCGCGGCGCAACAGTACTTTCCTCGCGCGAGTCGACAGCGTTTCCGGCTCGACCGGCAAACATACGCGAGCGCGCGCCCGCGCGGGTGGGGGGGGGGGAGGCACGGGGAGACCGCACGCGACCGCCGGCACCGAAGTCCGAGCGCGAGCCGCCGCCGTTGACCGCGGGGACAGGTACGCGCGCGACCGCGGGTTTTTCGATTAATCGGTTTTTAGCTTTTTAACGCGCGTCGAGACGTCCGCACGGCGTCGCGCACGCACCCGCCCGGCGCCGCTACGTCCTCTCTATAATTATATCGATTCGCCGAACGCGCGTCATCGTAACCGTGGTACACCCACGTTACGCGTTCGTATTTTCGACGGTTCGCAGCAGACGATTATTAAAACACGTCCGTAACCGACACCCCCGCCGCCGTGAAACCGTCGGATCGCCGCCGTTACCAACAAATGTCGCGTCACCACCCGTCCGTTAACGTGGCCTCCGCGTAAACGTTTTCGTTTCGTTTACTGCGTGTCGCACCGGCAACGAGGGAGGTCGTTGTCCCCTACAACCCGGAGGTCGCCTCCTTTCCTTAAATTGCTTACTCAGGCCCAAGGTCACCCCCCGATGTAAACAATTTCTTGCCAAACATCAAAAACACGTTATACTCATCAGTGACGTATATAGGAGGGCCTAGTGGGCTACACCCCCCCCCCCCCAGAAATGTTTTAAAAAACTTAAAAATTATTTTAAACGTATGTTATATTTTAATGATGCTTTATGCTTATTTTGAATTTGCGTCGTTTCGGGACATTCCGTAAATGAAATGTAAATAAGTACCTACTGTGTCTTGTTAGTAATTCTTAGATAGCAATGGTAATTTAACTCTGTCCATAGTAGAGCCTCCCGAAAATATTTTCTGTTTACGCCACTGATACTCATCACAGCTTATGATCATTTTAAACAAATCCATCGTGATAACTAGGGAACGGATTTATATGTAAATGCATATTTTTATTAAAACGAGGTATTTAAGATTCGATAAGAAATGTTCATGATTTAAATCATTCCTATTAATATGATGCTACTTTTATTTTACATATTTTTACATATTTCGGTATGATTTCATATTTTTACATATTTCACTAATTTGTAAATATTTTCAAACATATTTTATCATTTCATCATTCCTACGTCTTCTTCGTACAAAAATACAAGAAATTATTTCAAATTTAGATCCAGTAACTTCTATTGCTATTAGAAAAGCTCAAAATATTATGCAAAATGAAACATTGAAAACTAATTTAATTTTTATCTCAGTGAATTTTAGTTTTATTGCACATACATTTAGAAAATTAGAAACAAAAATATGTCCTTAAATGATAGTATACAAATTGTCGAATCAACAATTGAAAAATTAAAACTCATAAGCGGACCAATCAGGGGCGGATCCAGAGTCGGGGAACTGTGGGTCAAACCATTTCAAGAGGCTATTTATTAGGGATGAAACTGAATTAAAAATGAATACCTTGTAAAAAAAAAAAAAAACACAATATGCTCATAAAAAAAATATAAGTATATTTATATTACAATTTAGAATTAGTGATACCACCGATAATGACTTATTTACCATTAATAAATATAATCTAATTTTATCAGCGCAACAAATGTACGGAATAAAATATGATTTACTTAACTTTCTACTAAAACGATATGATTTAAAATATAAATTATGAATTAAGAAATTTTAAATTTTGAATATACATGGCGTTCATTTTTCAAGTAATTCCGATGAGTCAACTGTCCAAGAGTCCAAATCAAGATCTAAAAAGAGAAAAAAATTTCCAAGAGGCCAATTTTGTCAACAAATATTGACTGTGGGTCAGTTGACCCCTTGAACCCCCCCCTAGATTCACCTCTGCTCTGCAGGCTCTCAAAGTTTTTCACAGGAAACCAGCTACGGAAAATGTTTGCTCAAAATTGTTGGCCCTCACATGAAAATATTCTGTCTACGTGCCTGCCTCTAACATGGGTTTCGATACGCTCATAGAATCTTTTTACTAATCGGGTGGCGAGGAACGCGTTGTTTAAGGGATCGTAGGGGCGGTGGCTGTTTATACTTTTGGCCGTTGGAAAGCGAAACCGTCACGCAGTAATCGGGTTCGAATCTGGCGACTGCGTTTTATCCTGTGCGATCACATTATTATTATTATTATCTTCACATGTTCCACGATACGATATCAAGTCACTAGATGTTCGCTATCACATTGAATCGTCAATGATATGAAATTTCCTTATCACACGTTGCGTTATACAAACTGCACACACACACACATATATGTACGAAATATCGTTCGATTTTATTACCCATCACACACACACACACACACGCACACACACACACAAATATACAGTGTTTAATATATATATATATATGTCTATACACACACACACACACACACACACGAATTTTTACGGTTATCCCGTCCCGTGCGCAATCATAATACATAAAAATTGATAGTAGGAGTGATGTTATGTAATCGCGGTCGTTCGAAATGTGCGCGCAACGAGTTCACTCATTTTTCGCGCTCTAAACTCGTGGTTACTCGATTCGCGACAACGACGACTTCTCGTTTCGTTTGTTTAGTAAAACCCACGACCGACCGACGGACGTTGTTGGTAGGTACCAAAAAACACCTTCGCTGCTGTTGAGTGCGACCACGACGAGGGCACAATATTATTGAATCACATTACGTTGTATTATGTTCAAATGTTTGTTAAACCGTGACGGGAATATGACGTTTGAATAGGTGTTTCGGCGCTGGAACCAGTCAAGAGTTGTAGATGGATACGGTAGCGAAGACAATAAGCTGTAGTACTAATAATGCAACTGTTACTAACGCCAATGTTTGCCGATTATGACATACTATTGGCTTGCGGGCTGCTGATATTTTGGTGTGGATACTGGTTGGTGCACCTAAGCGCAATATGTTACGGGTACGTAGTTCTTAGATTTTAATATCATGTGCCCACTCGTTTTAGTTTCCTCCTCGATCTCATTCAAATGTTTTTTTTCACTTACCATATTAGCCCTTTAAACAGTTGTTATTTTTCATTAACAGAAAGTACAAGCTCTACAGGAAGCCCAAACCAGAACTGTCAACTCCGTCTTTAGTATGTTTAGAACACGGTGTGCCTAAAAACAATAATAAACAATATCCAGGCGTTAGTATATTAAAACCTTTGGTGGGTGTTGATCCAAATTTATTTGTGAATTTAAGCTCATACTTTCAAATGGAATATCCTATGGTAAAATCACAGCCATTTTTTTTTGTTTTTTTTTTTTGTATACATTACAATAACTGTTAACAGTATGAAGTATTGATTTGTGTGGTTGATCCAAATGATCCTGCTGCAATGGTAGCTAACCGATTATTGGACATGTATCCATCAGTGGACGCTCGCTTGTTTTTAGGTATTTAAAAATATTTAAAAAAATTAAAAATACATAGTTTATGACAATATTAAAATGTAGAACTACTTTTTTCCTACCAATAGTTTAATATTTAAATATTTTGAACCATAAAAATATGTTTGTACACGATTTTAGTGGAAAATTAATAAATTTAGTTAATAGAGTTGCAAACATAATTAAAATTATATTTTATAGGTGGTTCACAAGTGGGTGTTAATCCGAAAATTAACAACGTACATGCAGCATACCAAGCAGCCAAGTATTCTTTAATACTTATATCTGATAGTTCAATAAAAAGTATTAACACATTGATATAATAATTAGTTTTACGTAAAATATTATCTGAAAATTATTGAAATTATGTATTTATCTGGGAGAAATACAGAGGAGCTAAGACACCTACAATGTGCCTTTTTTTCATACCTTTTATATTTTACTTATTATTCATTGACCAATTATTTAATTGAATTGGTAAATTAATTGGTAATTTTAAAGTAGCATTATCTTAACATGTTTAACTTGTTGAAGCTTAATAAGTAAGAAAATGGTTGAATTATAAATATATACAAATAATTCAATAATCTGCTTACTTATTTATAACTATGTATATTTAATAAGAATTGTGGACAGATATTCAAACTTCAGTTTTAATTAAATGTTTGCAGTGAAAAAAGATACACTCTGTGATATGGTTGATAATATGGCTGAAGATGTTGCTATTGTTCATCAAGTACCATTTACATGTGATCGTATCGATAATAGTTCTGAGTCTATGAATGTGCCTTTATCAGATGTTACAACAGATCCCTCATTAGTTTTACCAATTAATGGAAAAGTTCAACATCATAATAGGACACGCAAACAACAACGTCGTTTTGTTGCTACCTTAGAAAAAGTATGTGCTTATTAAAAATTGTACTTATTGTTTGTAATATATTTTAAAATAACATATAAAGAAATATACCAGTTTTGCATTATTTGAATGCATTTTCCTTTAATTTTTTTTCTATTTATTTAATATAGAAAATAGAAAAATTACAATTTTAATTTTAAAACTATTCATCATTACAGCATTATATAAAAAAATAATAAGTAAATTATTATTAAAATTATTTCATTTGCTTGAAGTATTCTGTATAGTGGAATTCAAATTTTTAATATATTTCAAAAAAACTATCAAATAAAATATTTAAAAATTAAATTAAAATTAATAATTATTAAATGTATAATACTTATTGAGTTATGATTTTATTTATTCGTATTCAATCGCAATTTTATTAACATTGTATATACCTTATAATGAATTTTTATTTCGATATCTATCGTACTTTACAAATATAATAATATTTTAGGCTGAATTTTTATTTATTTATTTCTGTATATAATCTATTTATTGAATTATTTATATATTAAAAATTATTAGTTATAATATAACATAATATCAATTTTTTATTTATTATTTTTTATGATCTATTGAGATTATAATAGCAAAAAAAAAAAAAGTTAGATACATTTATTTTCATTTTAGTATGGTTTTTAGGTGTAGTGATTATCAAACAAAAAGTCATATTTCGAAAATATTCTTTAAATATTCTGTTAAAAAAAAAAAAAACCATTAAAAATTGTATTTGGTTAATTTAGCTGCTTTTAAAAATACTTATCATAATTTATGGATAAATTGATTAAATAACTTTTAAAACAATACTTTAGATAAAATTATAGAATTTACTGTTACAATGAATGTAAACCTGTGATTTATGTGTTTATAATAATGCTCATATTATATATTAGTGTATTGATTATTTATTACATTTTATAAATTTATTAATTTCCATCAATCATGTTCGACATTTTAATATTTTGATTAAACATCCTTTATCAAAAAATTTCTCAGTTATGCTTTATAATATTATGGTCTTTTAATATTTATTTGAATTTCACATTTACCAAGATTTGTATGTTTAAAAAAAGAATTGTAGACTTAAAAACAAATACTTACAAATGCTCAATTTTTTTTTTTTTTTTTTTTATTTGCTTTAAATAAAATTATCAGTTAATAATGAAGAGATATTGATATTTTGACTTTTTATATTTGGTTTGATCTAAATAATTTAGATTATTTGTATACAAATGTCTTTGAGTCATCTGTTGAAATATTTGTAATTATTAACAATATAATTATATATAATAATTAAAATAATTATTTTATATTGGTGCTTAAATGTTAAAATAATCTCTCATTGGTGAAATATGTTAACAAAGTAAATATTTGCGCTATTATACATAAGATTGTATGTTTTTTGTTAATACATGTTTAATACATTTATTTTATGAAAACATTTAAAAGGTTAAATTATTTTGCATTATTTAAAATACTAAACTATGAACCTTACATCTTCTTAATCAGTTTACATTTAATGACGTAGCATAAATATTTAGTAATTGATTACTACTATTTACAAATGAATGAATTAAATTTCATAATTAATAATATTTAAATTATAAAGATAATTTATTTTTTATGTTCATAGTTAGGTATTAAGAATAAAATATTAATATATAATAATTATTGTATTATACTACTAAACCTATTGTGAAAATTTGCAATAAATAATTTATTTATATAATAAAAAGTATAGGTGCAATCGAATCAATACATAAACACATTTTAATAAATCAATAAATGATTATATTATCAAAAATTGAAAGACATATTAAAATGACAGAGAGTGTTTATTAAAATATATGTTATGCAGCATTACGATAAACTATGTATGAATGAGAGGGTGTAATTATTACATAAAATAATTTTACAATGCTTCCTTCCAGACAATATTAGCTAATATAAATAATAATATTAGTATTGTTTGTGAGTTGTTTGTTGTTATATCACTGGGTAAGAGCCAATGAGAAAGCAGTATTTGGAAAAAATTGAAAGTAAAGTTGATTGTGCACACATAACTTTCCTCGAACTCAACAAATTTAAGCAGTTATTAGCTCAAAAGAAAGAGCATGGCCCACTGAGTGTTCTGAAAATGAAACGATCAAGATCCATTCATCAGGAGGATAGAACGGCCACACACACAGACTGACTTTAGTTTTCATACATTTTTTTAATATATAAGATTAATTTTTAATGTAATTATTTAATGTTGAATGGTTATTTGTACCAAGACAAATAAAATATGTATTGAATACAATTAATTTTAAGTAATGTGTAGTTTTGAAATTTATTCTTTGGGCATTATATATTTGAATGGAGCACTGCATATTTCTTAAGATTATTAAATAAAAAATAATTTTATTTATGTAATTGTAAAATATATGTACAAACTATATACTTCATAAAGTGACTATATTGTTCTAATAACATTTTTATTTGTAAATGATTTTTTATTGTAGAAAAGAATGCAATAAATCCTTTGATGTATATGATTAATAATTAATTTAATAGTATTAATATTTAATTGAATATGTGTTTTTGATTTCAAGGTATTTTTTGGAACTGCTCATGCTCGAGTGTATTTAATGGCTGATCTAGTGGGAGCTATATGTCATACTGGTATGTCAACACTTCTACGTAAACAAGCCATGGATGACTGTGGTGGTTTGCAAGCATTTGCTGCTTATCTAGCTGAAGATTATTTTATGGCAAAATGGGTAGTTGCCCGAGGTTGGCGTACTACTATAAGTGGCCGTCCTGCATTACAAAATAATGGAGGCAGTGATCTTGGCAAATTCCATGACCGTCTTAGGCGGTAATATTTAAATATTGATTTATTTGTTTTAATTAAATAAATATTTAAATTATAATGCATCATTAGTAATATCTTGTAGGTAGTCAAAATTGTTAATTTATTTTTGTAGATGGGTCAAACTTAGAATAGCTATGGTACCACACACAATTGTATTGGAACCACTATCTGAATGTCTGATATTAGGAGCTTGTGCGGCATGGGCTGCTCATACACTTTCTGGGGGTTCAATTGATCCATATGCGTTCTACATGGTACATGTGCTTGTATGGTTCTTATTAGATTGGATTCTGTTAAATGTTATGCAGGTACGCATAAATATTTAGTTAAAAATATTTGATTTTTTTTTTTTATCATGTTTGTCTTTTGGCTCTAACTATGTTAAGCTTTGCACATAATATTAGTGTTTATTGTTTGAATTTGAAAGAATTAAAATACCTTTGTATTTTGTAAATGGTACCTAACAGAGCAAGAGCCTATTTGGGATGTTCATGGTGTTTAAAAGTTCACAGTGTATTTTTCTAAAATAACTGAATTTAAATTGTATTCAAAATAATAATTCATATTATTTTAAATGTATCAAGAAAATTCTAAAGAAATTTTCAAATTTCAAGTTGTATATTAAAAGTACCTTAAACTAAAAATTGTACTTAAAAAAAAAAAAACAAAAATAATTCCTCGCTTCTTTCAGAATCTAAATAATGGTTATTACTATTTTTTATTTGTTTATTTATTTTTTTATTTTATTTAAAGTTATAACACCCTAATTTATGAATTTAATTAGATTTCAGATATTTTTGAATAATAATTGTTAAATTTAAGTATCAATTTTTCAAATTAAAATTGTTCATTCTGATAAAATTCTAAAAAAATTACCAACATATAAATATTGAGTTGGATAAGGTTAAATTTTTTTATTTTAACTAATTATTATTATTTCAATTTTCAGAATGGTCCTTTACCTTTTACAAAATTTGAATACTTAGTTGCCTGGTTGTACAGAGAGTTCATGGGACCATATCTGTTTTTAACTGCACTCTTATGGCGTCCATCCGTTGTAACATGGACTACAAGACAGTATCGTCTACGTTGGGGTGGTATATCAGAAATTTATAACCAACAATCAACGAGCTCTAGCTCAGAAGCAATAACTGCCACAGTGCCTATAGCAACTACTACCAGTGTCACTTATGACACAACAGTGCCTAATAATTATTGTAGTACTCACCAGCAACAGCCACCAAGTGGTACTGGGTTTACATCAAAAATTAAAGTTTAAACATGATGAACAGATACAAATTTTATACGAATTTATTTTTAATATATTTAAGATAATAATATACTTGTTAAGTATGTAATAATATAGCTAATAAATGTAATGTTATTATAATTATGAAAAAACATATTTTCAATGTAATGTGCCTTTTAAAAATTATACAATTATTTATTTATAAAAATGTAATATGAACGAGTTACAGTTTAGTCCCATTACACAAATATCCTAGTTGAGTCTCACTTGATATTCCATTGGATATAGTATATTTTGGCAGTGTATTATATTTAAATTATTTCAAATTTAACTTTTTTATTATAAAATAATTTGAATTGCTAGTAAGACTTTCAAAATGTATATTTATATTTTTATTAGCTATGTAATTGTAGATACACAAAAAAAAAAAATGTTTTTTTTAGAGTTTTTTTGAATTTTATTACAAATCAATTTTATTCTGACATTATAATTTACATTTATTTAACCATGAATTAATGTATACCAATTTATATTATTTTTAAAACAGTCTTTAATGGTTTACCTCTAAACTCTAGTGTTATATATTTTTATCATATTAGTAATTAATTGGAAAATATTGAATTAAACAATTATAAATTATTGAGACTCAATTTGGGTATATTCAAAATGTACAGTCAAAATGCAACAACTTGCTTATCTGGGACTCGACTGTACCACTCTCTATAATATACAACTATTAATAGAAGTGTATAATATTTATGTTTTATTTTTAATGTTTTATATGATTATGTCATTATTTTGTATTTATAATTATAATAATTATATATATTACATATATGAATTTACAATGGAGTTGCATTTTTTTGCTTTTCACTTTTTTATAAGCTGAAGGAAAATAGTTTATCTTAATACAAACAATTTCTTAATAGCACATATTGAGTAACATTTATTAGATGCAATTTTTAAGTAGGTATACAAAAGCAAAAATTGCATTGTTGTATTTAATGAAATTAATGAATTACTTAAAAGTAATAATTATCAGTAGTATAAATTAAAAAGTAATATTTTTTTAAATTTACATATTGTTATATTAGTATTTTAAAGTTGAGTCAGGTGGAAGAATTTATAAAAAACCTCAATTCTAGTTTTTATAAATAATAATTAGTGTAAAAATAAAAATTTCTAAAAATGTTACCTTATTTTTATTATAAAGACATGAAAATGATTCAAGTTATTTACATAGGTGCAAATTCAGTTTACAACTTGGAAGTTCTAAAATTATTCACTTCGAGGTGATCTGTGGGGGGGCTTTGCCCCAAACACTCTCCTACAACTACTCGACTCAAAATGTAGTAGCTTTAACAATTAATTATAAACAACAATCTCCTATATTGTAACTAAATAGTATTAATAAATATGATTACTTCTTATCAATAAGTGATCAAACTGGTAAACAATAAACAAACAATCTTAAATAGTATTTCAGCAATAAACACTAAAATAAATTTGACCGTTATCACAATATAATTTGCGTTAGAAACAGGTAACATGACAAACCCAAATACCCAATATCCTACTGCATACACAGTGGCAGATCCAGAATTTAATTTTGGGGGAGGCATAGACCAGAACGTAAATTTAAAATTTTTTAAATAATTTACAAATAGACAATTTTAAATGTGTATTTTTTTTTGTTTGTTAAAGACAGTAGCACAACTAGGGATAGGGCTTGGGGGTTGTGACTCCTCCCGAAAATTTTTCTGAGGTTTTTCCAAATTCTACGTAGGAAAAAAAATGGTTTATCTAGAAGACGCGAAATGGCTGATTGATATGAAATATGAATATTATTCGTATTATAATTGATAAAAATAATAATTACATGACAATATGGAACGTTTTATAACAGTTCAGATTTAAAATATCAGTAACCTTGCTACTACGATTTCTCAATAGTCGATTGTATAATACATACTTTTTTTGTGATATCACAATATGAAATAGAAGTTGAACAGTTTAATTTGTAATTTCAATATTTTACTCATAAACTTAACTTAATCTTACTTTCTTATCCTTACCAAACGCCTGCAAAAAATGCTTATTTTTTCCAAATTCACAAAACCTCCCCCCACCCCCCGAAAATTAATCCTGATTGCACCACTGGTTAAAGATTATATTTAAATTATAATAATATTGTAAGAAATGTATATTGATAAAGATAATTGTACTCTCCTAGGATTAGATTTTGAAAACATAGGTATCTAATACCTCTTCAAATTTTAAATCAATTTGTCTATGGATATTGAGTAAAGCTAACCCGTTTAAACGGTTTTCCCTCATCGTTGTTCTTATATATGTTTTTATGCGTTTTAGCATTGAGAAAGACTGCTCACTTGTCGATGTTGTTACAGGTATTATTGCCAAAATTAGTAATAGTTGACGAATGTATGGAAATTCTCAATATTCATTATAGCATTATATTATTATTATATCATTTATATCATTATTTTTGAACGAAACAATATAAAATTGTAAAGATTAAAAAAAAACTTAACACTATTGAATTAATAAAACCTAACTTAGGCAAATTGGGGGGGGGGGGGGCGAGGCCCTTCGGGCCCCCCTTAAATCCGACACTGTGCATACATACATGTATAACATATGTACAATGCATGTCCCTGGTATTAATGCATTAACAATGCAAACTGGAATTAACTCATTTTCATAAACTTAAAATAATCGTTTTTAAACAATATTTTACCTCAAAAAAAAAAAAAAAAACTGGGTGTGCTAATTTAGAACTTTGGAGTGCTATGAACCCCTCGTGGTACTACTATACATGTGCCAATGGTTGTTTATGACAATCATTAATTTTTCTGTTAATTTGCTAACATAATTTTTGTATAATTATACTAATAAAAAAACAATTTAATTGAAATTTTTATTTTAAAAATCGATCTCCTATCTACAAAAGGTATCAAGATTTTTCAAACTGCCTGAAAATGAAAAATATTTTAGATCAATTTAAAAATTGTGTTTAATATCCATTACTTACCCTTGAAAAACCTGTAAATATAATGTTTTCATTCTGAACAATTTGTAATTTTATATTTAAAATGGTATGTTTTAATTAATAATGTTTTGTGATACATTTAATGATTCAATTTACCAATTTAAATTGTAGTTGAAAGAATAGGTTTTGAAGGTTGTATTATTTTTAAATAACTTCTCAATAAGACAGATTTTTGATTACGTAATAAATCGAAAATCGATATAATAATTAATTAATGTTGTTTTACTATATAACTGTTATTATTACATATATTATATACATTGTTATATTAGGATGATGCAAATGAACTTACGTTTTTTAAATATATATGTTTTGTAAAAAAATAAATGAAGTTAATATTTAGGTGATTAGATAAGTAAAGATTGTGCAATAATTATCGATAGTAAAATTAGGGCCTTGAATTACTTATCTTGAAAATCTTGTTCAGTACCTAATATCAGTATCTAATAGGTATTAGATACGTTTATTATGTAGTTATTTAATTCAAGTAAACATTTAATTAAATCATCTGACAAATACAGGTGACAAATAAAAACCAACATAAAAGTTTAGTTATATAAATATGATAATGTAAAACTCTATAATGTCTACTGATCACCTCAATAAATACTATATGATAAGTATAGTATTTTTAAGGTACCTACTATTACAAAGCAATACTAAAAATACCGCTTTACAATTAAGCTTTAGTCAATAAAACACAATTATAATTCAAGTTCAGTATAATATTGTTAGTAGAATTTTTCTATACAATAACAGTGATAATAATTATATAATATTTTACCGTTTTGAATTCTATATTTTAATTTACCCATATAGTGTAGTATATAGGTATAGATTTAGAAAAATATAGGTACAATTGTATTAGTAAACCTATTTAGAATTAATATTAATTAATCATAATAACAATAAAAAAATAAAAGAAAAAACATTCGAAATTTCAAGTGTACATATTAATAGGTACAATTTACATCTACAATTTAAAGACTCACTTATATTTGGTAATGAAAACATTTTTATTTTCTTCTAAAAAGTGAAAACAAAACGTTTAGTAAGTAATGATGTCATGTTAGAGTGGACATAATTTTTTTATGTATAATATACATGGGAAAATAATATTATTATTTTCTCATGTGAACGAAATAATTATTTATTAATTATTTACTTTACTCATTTATAACATTTGAGTTTTGATTTCTGAAATCGACTTATATAGTGTCTATATTTATATTATACTGCTAGGTATATATTTAATTGTAGTAAATGTAAAAAGGTAATATGAGTATAATTATTAATAATTACCATAAACTAAATCAATAATAAAATGTATAAATCCTTCATAATGATTATAACTCTAATAGATATGGTTTTCGAATTATATTTACCTACGCTGAGTAGATATGAAAAATCAATAAAGATTTACGAATACTAAAATAACATCGTCTAAAATTCTCTATTTTAATGTATATTTATGATAAGTGATACTGATATAAGTAATCATAGTTAAACATTCCATAAAATATCTACTGATAACCGATTTTGTAAATTACTATTAAATTTTTGAATTATTAATCAGTGTTTTCAAAATTTAGAAATTTACTCACTGTAAATATTTAAAAAAAATGGATTGGTATAATATTGTAAAGTTTAAATAGTTTTTCATTATTTAAATGGTGCGATCATTTTTTGCAAAAATGTATTTTTTTTTTTTTAGTTAACAAAAGAAAAATATATAAGCAACAATATTACGTATTTTGAAAAAATTCTAATTCTTTATAAGTAGATACAAAGTAGATAATTAATGAAAAGTAATTATTTTAGGTATATTAGTTGATTTAGTAAAATGTATTATACCCTCGCAAGTATTAATGTATTTTAGGTAGTATCCGTCAATTTTGTTACTATAGTTATATGTTATCTTATAGTTTAATAATTTATATAATATCAACAAATAATAAAATAAATAATATAAAGTATAAAATTGTATTACCATAGTGCTACTTACTAATAATATGTTTAAAATAAGTCTTAACATTTTTTCACTTTTGATTGATTGTTGTTGTTTTACTTAGAACTTAGTATACACTTAATTTATCTTCGTGAATATAAATTCAAATACCTGAAAAGAATCTAATCAAACTAATATCTAAAATGATAACTACTCTTTTTTTTATTTCGATCAGTTTATTATCTCCCAATATGTGGTCTACCTCCGTTTTGGTGTGCTACGTAACTATAAATATGAGTATAGTATGCGGTCTACCAATGTTATGTGTTCTACCAATAGCTGGGAATCTCCAGTCATTATTATTTACTATTACTATTAACTATTATTAACTATTATTTACTCAAAATCGTTAAAAAAATGTGAAGTACTAATGAAGACCTCTTAGAGAGGTACTTAGCCGAGTGTTGGTGGCGATGATAAAATTAAACTGATAATATTTTTGATGCTTTCCTTAGAGGTATGAAATTATGCTTTGTGGATCCTTAATAAAATAAATTTTTTTTTATTTATATTTTTAATATTATTACAGCAGATCACGTCCATTTTGGTAGACCGCATATTTTTTGTGGTAGACCGCATATTGGGAGATAGCCATTTTTTCTATCTGACTATTCATCCACCGGTAAATAGCAACAATATAGTATATTAGTTGTGCGTATCTACCACTATTTTTGTGATGTTATTTACTCATCATCATCTATCTCTTCATCACTACTATCACCTTCATCTTCGTCGTTTTTATCTTCTCTATCATCATAGTCTTCGTCACTGCCCTCGTTGTCGTCATCTACCTCTACTTCTTCGTCATCTTCTTTTTCTCGTCCTTTATTACCCTTGTTAATACTACTTATCCTAGCGTTATGCAGATTGCTGAAGTCACTCGTTAAGTTGTTGCCCCAACCACTACGGCTCGTGCTACTATTATAATTTAAGCCACTGCTTTCGGGCTTAATTTGTATAGCTACTAAGCCTTCTTTAACCCTTCTTTCCAAAATATGTTGATTACTATCAACATCGTGTCGACGGTATCTGCCACCAGCACTACGATCACCTCTACCACCTCGATCATCACCATTAGTAGCGTCATTATTGCTGACACTACGTTGACTTTGCGGTCGTTGTTCATGTTCTTCTCCTCTTTGTTGCGGTTGTTGGTTATCTGACTTTTCTTGATCTCGATTGCCGGTTCTCCATCTCCTCCTTCTTCGTTTTCGCAAACGCCGACCACGGATTCTGATGCCTCGACCATTGCTCCCATCACCCACACTAGTAAAACATTCGTTAGCTAGGTATTGAGAGATATGTCCATAAATCGAGTGAAGCAATTGATGGTTGTGGTTTATTGGAAAACTATTTTCTACCCCTGTAGCCATTCTTGAATTACTGAGGTCTGCATCTGGCGTCATTAATTGTGATATCCTAATAGCTCCAGTCCGTGTAGGAAACCCCCCGGTGACTCTGCCTCCGGATGCTGATGAATTAATATTTCGCCGTCTTAGACTCCCAGTAAAACCTGTTGGAAAGTATTGGCGCTGTTGTTGTTGCATGACTCCTCGGACCAGCATCATTGAATGCTGTGGATGGATAGTCGTGTCTGCTGTGCCATGCATCACTAATAAGTTAATTCCTTTTACTTGTGACGATGGTGATAAAGACGAATCGTTTAATGTTACTGCAAATGGTATTAGGTCTGAGCGGTCATATGACATCCAAGTATCATCATTCCCACTGTAATAGCCGTAATATCGTTCTGCAAATGTTGATGCTGTAATACATTGTTAACAACTTTGAGTAAAACGTTGAATTATAAATATAATTTATATGAATTAAAAAAATTAATAATCACCATACATACGCCACGAACACACAGGTGCCATAGTTATAGCACATTTGAATGAAGAGTGAATAGCTACGGGTTCTTTTCTATTTCCACTAGATTCACTGCCTTTTTTCTCCATAGGTGCACCACCATAAATAGTTTGCCATAAAGCCATCCGTGCGGCAGCATAGCCGCCATAAATTGATGATGGGGTCGAAGGCGACGTTGGACCACCACCCAATAATGCCACCCTAGATGCATCAACATATGGCAATCTTAGTGCCTCAGAATTTACTTTTGTATCACTGGTACTTCTACGGTCTCTTCTACTTATTTTATCATCCCTATCCCTGTAAAAATCATCTCCGTGACTACTACCACCATAATCACTATTATCCCCACCGTTGCTGTAATAATAATAATAGTAATCATCGTTATCGTTTTTAGTATTGATGTCATCATATTCTTCATCTTCGTCATAATAGTCATCGTCATCACTGTAATATCTTCTATTCGATTGGGATGTTGACGAAAACCATCTAGAATGATCTCGACTACCACGACCTCCTCTAGGACGATCTTCGCTGTAATATCCTTGTCCATTGTCTTTGAAATCATCGTTAGTATTAGTAGCGCTTGAAAGCAGATACTCAACTGCTTCCAATTGATCACGAAGGTCAGCCGTTCCTAGTATTCTACCTATTCCACCATCACTACCACTTATATCTTCATATCTATCATTGCCGTCGCCGTAGTTCAATGCCAACAGTGATTCGTAACCTCGAGCCCACGTACCTCGGCCTGGATCTATAACAGCCACAACGTACTCATTATTTGTATCTTCGGTATCATCTTGATTATAATCATAAAAATCGTCATCGTAATAATCTGAATGACCAGAGGAGTAATATCTGGTTGCTGTGGAACGACGATTTCTGCGACCTTTCTGCCTTCGATGATCAAATTCGTTGTTACCGTATCTTATACCTGCTGCATTACCACCACCAGGACTCAACAGCATTCTACCTAATGAACCCGAACATAATAATCCCGTCGTATATCCAAGTCGATCAGCAAATCGATCAGTTATGGCTTGAGATCCTGGATCCGAGTTTACTACTACAAGCAGAGGATATAATTTTTTGTAACGACGATGTCGCTGTTGTTTTCGTTGTCGTCTTTGTCGTTTTGATCCATCGTTATCACTTTCACGAGATGATGATGAATGTCGTCGTCGACGACTGTGAGGAGTCGAAGGACTATCACTGGTTTCAGTAGCAGTTTCAGAAACATTATCAATTTTACCTTTGGTATTTTCTACAGAATTACTAATATGGTTTAACATAAATTCTGGACGAGGATCAGCTTCAGGGTCGTAAACACCAAGTGGTAGATACAATCGAACCTGAGCTACGGTTAAAGGATCTGAATCTGGACGTTTTCTGGTTGAAAAATGTAGTTGCTGATCACCACCATTGCTATAATAATCGGCTGCCGCTAGTGGATCGTTAAAATGTAAACCACCCGAAGTTGTCAGCTTACGACCACCAGAAAGTCTTAACTGAAATGTTCTGGTACCGGGTAATAATACTCGGTTCGTATATTTGTCCTGCAATACGATAATCGTAAGTAAACAGTTAATACTACGTTGGGAAACAATTTAAACATTTTACCTGTAGACGAGTATTATTTTCAATGAGTGCCACGAATTCAAAAGAAAAAGAAGGATCTTTAAGCCACTTCTGTGTAGTTTGAGGCATACTAACTACTTCATCGCCGAAGCCACTACCATTGATGTTGTCTTCACCATTATCACTATCATCCATCAAGATTCTGTGTAATGTTACATAAGGCACCGAAGGACCCAAGCATATCAAAGCGTAATGGCTACCATCTCGGGAAAATTGAGCGTCATAGTATGTGCAATGTCTCATTGCACCGCGATTATTCATTTTTTGTTGCTGTCGACGATTTCGCTGTCTACGGAGTTCTGCTTCTGCATATGAAACATAATATTTATATGATATTCAAAAATATTCATTGAAATCTTTGCTAGATACTACGTTCACATTTATTCCATACTTCATGATATAATAATATATAAATATATATAATATACGTACATAAAACTAGGAGTATTAACTAGTTTCAAGTTGAAATAAAGATAAACTTAAAATAAATATTAATTACATTATGTATTGAGTTAATTATTACTTAATATTAATTTACAACTTAATACATTTTTTTTGCGCCTAAGGTGTGTTTTAACATCATTTTATAGAAAATAATTTTTTTATTAATTTTTTCTGTAAGGGTTTTGAGAACACATATGAACTTTTCAATGATTAAATAATGATCAACTATGTAGGATATAGATGTTAAAATATTTTAAAAAAAATATAGTTGATAAAAATTAAATTTGCTGACATTTTCAAATAAGTATTAATTGTATGCATAAAATATACTTTATAAATTATAATTTATAAAGTAAGTTCAACACTTTTAAAATACATTTTTATGATACACCATTTGCTGAAAACTACTGAAAAATAGGAATTTTTCGGATATTATTCAATATTACCTTCTGCAGTGGCGACTTCTTCTTCTTCTTCGTTGTCTTTATCCTCTTCCTGTTGATTCTCCCACCGTTCTCGATGCTGTCGCCTCAACCGATCGTCTCGAGCCTCGTCCATTCGATTCTGTTTTCCAGGAACATCACGACGCTCGCGCCCTTGTACGTTGGTGGTAAAACCTACATCGCAACTTAAGCATACTGGACGGCTACGAGTGTTGTGATGTGTATTTTTACGGTACTGCTGTTGATGATGATGCCCCGCCCGTGTACTAATATCAACATTTGTAGCCGATAAAGACGCAGCAGGCGTAAACTTTACTGCATATAAGTGACGATGGTGTGGTGCACCGCGGCCTGACGGTACTGCTAAGAAGTATCTACAATACATATAGTAGGAATGAAATACACGGAATAATTTTATTTTAAGAATATTATCTATTATTTGTTTAAAACGGGTGATTAGTTCTTGTATCATAGCGAGTTGAATATTGATATAAATATAACATGATATTGTATACAAAATATTAACAATATATTAATGATATTATCAGGGGGTGGACACAACACGGCGGCAACGAAATCAGCGGCCATTTTAATTGAGGTACTTTTGTTATCAAATTATAATCAATGATAACTGATATTCGTTATTAATTGTAATTTCAATTATGGTAATTGTTCAATATGTGATCTACCAAACAGTGTGAAACATGGTGACCTACTGGGTACCAAGAAGTTTTTACTTGTGGATCATTTTTTAGATAGTATGTCTACCATAATACAGGTCATTACATACAGGATTTCAGAATGGGAAGTGTTTAAAAAAAAAAAAATGTATAAAATAGATTCATCGATGATTAAATATTATACAGGCATTTATATACATTTTTTAAGTATATTAAAAATGTTTATATCGATATAATACTATAAAATGCAAATCATTGTTGTAGTAAATTTACAAATACAATTGTAATACATTTACAAAAACACAATTTATATTTTTTTGGTAATGATGGGAGGTTGGGGATTGACCCATGGTCATACCATAGTATAAGACTTATAAGCCCCCCAAATCTCAAACTCTTATTAATAACATTTGAAAATTCGTAATAGCTTATAAAGAATATTACTACTGTTTCATGATGGAATAAAATGTTACTAACTTTCTACAGTACCTCAAATAAAATGGCTGACTGATTTCATTATTGTCTTATGCTGCCCATGTAATTTGTTATCAGTGTCCATTCTGTTTTATTTTGTGATATTATATACATATTAGAAATATGATGTGAACAACAAAATAAAAATTTAAAAATATATAAAGGATAAAATCAGTGATTAAAACGGTTAATAAACCTAATTCAAAAAACCCGAAACTTTTATATTACACGTATAAAAATTGTTCATGATGATTCGATATCGATATGTATTATCTTATTGTGTTTTTCACGTGCAATAAGGCAAAAACAACATATTTTTGGCTCATCATTACCGTCGATGAATTAAAATTATGAGAATTCCGAGAAAAGAATAAATATCAACATAAAGTCTACTTGAGATTGATAAGGTCAAAATTTTCAATTATACTAAGGTTTTTTTTTGAACAATAATAATACAATATTCGTAACATTTTTATAATATTGCAATTAAATTGATCGAAGTTGTGGATATAAATCTATAAAAATGGTTTCTCAAGTAGACTTAATTATAAATTCAAATGTGTTTTCATAATCTTTAATACTTCAATACATCAACCGTGATGATGAATAAAAAACGCGTATTTTGTACTATAGATACTACATACATAAAAAGCGAAGACAATACACATCGGTATCAAGTCCCGTTCATAAAAAGTTAATAAATTAAGTGATGAAGTAAATCAATACATTTTTTTAAATATAAAATAAAATCTTATTATAATAATTTTTTTCTTATAAAATATAAATATAAATTTGTTTAAATAATATTATTATTAAAATTACCATCAGGTATAAAAAATGCACATTTATTTAAATTTAATTTATATTGATATTATAATAAATAAAAGAAATAAGAATTAGTAAATTATTTATGTATTTAGAAATAAACTTTGTTATTATTTTATGTTTTAAATTATGAAGGTTGCTCTAATACTATACAAAACAAAACATTTTATTGTGTTCTCTAGATATATATTAGAAGTCCCTATTATACGAGTATATAAAAAAAAACAGATACACGTGTTCTCGAGAAAAGGATGTTTAATCCGTGTAAATAAAATACACGGGTAAAATAACGCATCATTATACCCGTGGTATTGCGTTAATATTTTCAAATAACATTTATATTTATCTCTTTATTTTTTTTAAATTTCAAAATATTCAACTTATTACATTAGTTAATTTTCATAATAACGTAATTGGACGAAACAAACACTAGTCATAAAAAAGATACCACGATTTAATTAATTAATCGCATTTAATGTTATCATTTATTTTTACACTTATAAGGTCATAACGGACGTCGGGTTTTGAGGTTTTTAACTATATTATTAACTATATAACTATATTATCGTTAATGTATAAGTAGAACAACTGTGAATTTTATAATTGTAGTTCATATGTTTCAAATGTATCAATTATTCAAAACAAAATTTAAATACACGTGTACTCGGATTTTAATTATTCCTGTAATTCATTACACTGATATTAAATCGTTCAAAATAAGGGTACACGGGATTCGGATAAACGTGTTGGTTAACAACCGGTCAAAGTCACTAGCTAAACAAAGTGCTGCTAAATAGAAACGTGGTTTATTTATAATTAAGTACTTACATCATATTGGTCCGTTGGTCCCATGCTAAAATTCTGACCACTGTCCAACTCTTAGTGACCACGTTTCTCTTTTTTTTATCTTCTTTATCGTTGTCGCTGTCGTCATCGTCGTCCAATTCGCCAAATGTTAGAGGCGCTAACAACTTTTTCGTTATGTTTACGGCTACCACTTGAGCAAAATATTTTCCGACCGGTGACTGAAGCGATGACCGTTCTTTACCATTCCGGTCATGTGGTGAATGCGAATGTTGTTTCGACGACGGACGTCTCAGACGCACGCCACCTTCATCACTTTGATCTTCGTTATCGTCGAATCCTTCGTCGCGCACCGGCGCCACGCTCACGTACCCTTGACCGTCCGCCGCAAACACTGGGGCCCGCGGCGTCAGTTCCTTGTCACCCGTTTCCCATCCCCTTCGGGCTAATGCAGCTACCGTGTATCCAGCTCCTGCGTCGTCGCCAATACCCGATATGCCGGCATATCCGTCGTCGCCGGCGAAATTGTCGCCGTCATAATTGTTGTTACCGTTAATTTCGTCCGACCACCACGTGGCTCCTGTCAACGATGAAACAGCGAATCCACCATCGTTGACACCACCACCGGTTGACGCCACTCCACCTCCGGCTCCACCTACAGTGGCATCCACCCAACCCCCGTACTGTCTGTGGCCTTTCGTTCCATTATCGTTGCCGTTATTAACGTCTCCAGCACGTCGTCGGCGGCTCCGATGGCCGTTGTGTTGATGTTGACCATGTTGGTGTTGTTGGTGCTGCTGACGGTGGTGATGTCGGTCTTCTCGATAGAAAGTCGACCCGTTATTGTTATTGTTGTTGGTCATTCCATGAGCGGCTTCCGACTGTGATTTTTGTGAGCTACCACCATTGCGTCGGTACCGACGGCGTGCATGATCATTACCAAACATGTTACTTCCTTGTCCTCCTGCACCATTGGTGTTACCACCAGCTCTTGCTGCGTTGATCACTTGGGTCTGTCACACGAACATTTCGTACTAATCATTCTTAATTCTCGTAAATATCTACAGCTAAGTATGTGTACGAACCTCTTGACACATCCACATGGGCGATTTGCATAATGTAGTCACGCTCGTGTTTTGTGCTCTGTTCAACCATACAACACATACCTCAGCTGCCGAAGCACCCGATTTGTCATCGTCTGCGCCACCTATTCCACCAACTCCTCCGTCGTTCACCCATTGAACTGCCGTGAAATAGTAGTCACTGTTGTACATAAAAAGTAAATTTATTATACCTTACTCGGTTTAGTATCGAATTTTAGTTTACTCTGTGACTCACTCAGTATATTGAAAAATAGGTGGAGGTGTTAGTGTGCGTATTTTTGGTTGTATTTGCGGATTTCTGAGTTGATCGAGATTGACTATCACCGATAAAGTAACAACGGGATTAGGTGTATTGGCCTGTGGACGTAATAATTACATTAACATAATTATTATTTAATTATTTCGTTATAATTAAAAATTGCATAAAATATATAACTACTTAATTTAAAAGGTATAAATAGTTTTAGATTCGATAAAAAATGTATTGTAAATTATAATAATAATCATCATTTATTAAAGAAAGCTTGTCGTTTAAACCACTCCTCTTTCTTCTCTTTTTAAATTATAATAACTTTCTTTATATCAAAAATAAATAAATAAATTCTGTACTTCCTGGTTAATGTACTATATAATTTATGGGCACTTTCGGATGTATTGGAATACAATAATGATAATAAACTGTTGTACGGATATAGAACGTCCTGTAATTTTAATTATTACTTATATTTTATATTCATATTATATGTTTGTATAGTATAATTTGATAAATTTGAGTCTATTCGAAAATTGGAATGCATACTCGATGGGATGTTTGAAGTTCAAACTTTGAGCGGACTTTCAAATTCTTTATAACGTAGTGAAGTTATTTATGATTTGAAAGAAATCTGCTGATATTATTAAGTATTGTTATAGGATGTTAAACTTTAAATAATGCGTCATTCGATAGTTCGGCAAGTCAAACTAGGCTTTGATTAACTTACCTTTGGATACCTAATGGTTCGGATTTCGGGGTACAAATGATATTCGGATGTCTCGTCTTCTTTTAATTTATCTGTTGCCACTTTGGATTTTACGTTGCGTCTAATACGTCTCCGGCGTCGTTTCTTTTTCCGTTGTTGTTTCTGTTGTCGAGAATGATTTTCGGTTTCTTTGCCATCGTCTGTATCACGTTGTAGTCCACCTTTCATGTAAACCGAGTATTTGTATTCTCCCACTCGACGGTCGTCGAACGTTGCGTACATCAAGTACCGACCGGAAGATGGCCATACGGCTGGTGACCTCTTCAATATCTCCACTATATTAAGACAACAATGTAGTAACATAATAGTAAAATAACAAAAATGTTCGTTTTATTGCATATATTCAGCTCACTTACTTTCATACAGATAATCAGCTATTCCGTTGCTCACTGTCCCAACAGCAGAAACCGTTGAACCAGACGTCGTAATTCTGCGTACTGGACCGTACGGCCAGGGTGTCGACGATAATTTAGAAGAAGAATTGTTTTCATCATGATCATATTTGTCATTAGGCGTTGCGGTGGAAGATGGCAAGTCGGAACTAGTTGTGTTAGAAATCCGAGAGTCCACTGTCGAGTTTTTTTTTTCATTATCAGAATCGTTCTCTATCGTTGACAGTTTCACCGACCACGGAACGTAAAACACGTCGTATCGATAGACAACAATCAACGCCATTGATTCAATGTTTTTGTCCGCCGCTGTCGAGATCTTGTGCCATTGTGCATGTAACAGGTAAGGTTGTAGACTATGAGTAGTACCGTTTTGGAATTGATGACCTTCGTCTAACATTATAGGAGTCATTTGCCTGGGAAAAACACGATTTATATTATTTGCGCAACAAGTAGTTAAACTATAAACATACTAACCCGGTGGACACAGTGTACACGGTATAACGAGCAGTTTTCGAGTACCTGAACAACTAAAAAATATTGAAAATTACAAGACTAAAGTTTCATTTTTATATTTAGTATTTATATGCAATTACTTTTTTAGCATCATAACCTATAAGTACGTGATTACGATCAGGTGATAATTCAAACGACACTATTTGGCTTTTTAATTTCTAAAAGAGGAAAACAATCAATATTAATTACTCAATGTGTCTATTTACAATTACAGCATATTATAGATAACCTGTAACATTTTTTTCGACATTATGTGGTTAGTAGTTTGAACCGTTCCGTCATCTTTGATTTCCATCACAGCTAAATCACCGTTGCTGGTCACATAAAATATCTCGTTACCCGAAATCCACGTTCCGTTAAATATTTTGATGCTGGCCGAATCTGATAGAATATCCGATAAACGTAATGTTCTCATGCCTCGACGACGCCACCAAAGTTCGTCGTTCGCCCGTTGGTTGTAATAGTAGTCCGAACCCGATCTATCACCGTTTTCCAAGTCCGAATAAGAATCCGACAGTTCCTCAGGTTGAGGTGGAGTCAATAAAACGACTGACGTGACTATCATGGCTAGAACGGCAACGATAACCATCAAAGCGATGAGAATACCACGCCAGTTTCGACGCTGTTGCGCTGAGTTCATTACAAGATCCTAAAACACGTTTAAAATGTTTTATCGGTATAGTACGCAGAAATTAGTTCAATTAAACGATAAAGTAAATACAAAATCATTTTTTTTTGTGTTATAATATTAGATAATCTTAAATTAAGTTTATTATATTGTATGGTTATTTGTATGTTTGAGATAGTTTAAATTATATATTTGGAAACTTGAACAATAATGTTGAGACTAATTTACAAAAGTTTTTCATTTTATATACAGATATTAAGATTTTTTATTTTTTACCGATTGCTAAACTAGTACAACAACTTGACCAATAAGTTTTTTTTCGGCAGGATAAAAGTTAAAAAAAAAAATATTATCATAATTTTATTTTTGTTTTGAATGCGAATGATGCATGTTGAACAAAAAAAAAATTATTGCTGTTTCAGATGCAAACGGTTATAGTGTAAAAGTAGTCTAAAAAATAATCTGGACATTAAATTTAGCTACTCAAAAATAAAATTATAAACAAAATAGCACTAGGGTTTATATATTATTGCATATAAATATAGTGAATCGAACATCTGGTTTTCAATAGTCAATGCGTCCAACTAATTCATCGCGCTGAACGGGAGATCTGAATTACTAGCGCATAAACAAATTACTATCCGTCACTATTTATAAATGTATGTATCGGAAATCAATAATCAAATCCCGTCCCTACCATATCGTCCACGTCGTAAAAACGTAAACGTTAAACGCACTTACCTCGTCGTCGAAATGATCACCCATGCCGGGACGTTGTCTGTATTCGGTGGCCATGGCCGATACGGACGGCTGTTATACCGCACTGGTGACGACGACGATGAAGAAGACGACGACGACGACGACGACAACCGTCGTCGGTTAAACGCTTAGCATTTTCTCCGTCGTCAATTCGCTGTGCCTCGCGACGGTCATCGCGATCGCCACCGTCATCCCTGCACCCTCCGACCGGTCGCTGACGACGAACGATTTCTCGTCGGGCGTGTAGAACACGGTGATCGACTGCTTGCGGCGATCGTGGACGGCACGACACGCTATCTCGTTAATCCACTGGCACGAAGCAGTTCGATCCGGCCGCAGAGACGTGCGAGTAGGTTCGCGTGCGTGTGTCTGCTCGCGTTCGCGATTGACGTGTGTGCGCGCGCGCGCGTGCATGTGTGTGTGTGTGTGTGTGCTTGCGTTTGATCGTTCGTGTTTGCGAACGAGTGAAAGAGTGAGAGGGTGTGAGAGGGAGTGAGAGGGTAAGAGAAGAGAGAGGATGCTGCGTTCACGGCTTACGTGCACGTACGGCAGGGGTGGACGAGCGAAGAACACGGGATGGCGGAGCGGCGAAGGGATGAACCGCGGAAAACGTACTGTGCGCGGTGTGTAGGAGTAAAGGCGCCGGCGTAACTCCACTAGTGCCGCGCTGCCGTCGACGGCGGCGGTAACCTAAATATAGATTTTATTTTACCATACCGTCGCTGTACCGATGGCGTCATCGTAGTAGTAGCAGGTACGGTTTCGGACGTCAAACCGTCGTTAGAGGAAAAGAACAAAAAAAAAAAAAAAGCACTGCTATGTCAACAGTAGTTCGCTTCGTCTAGATTATTAAATCGAAATCTATACGCGCATACGTTACATATCGTTACATTATAACGATAATCTTGATGGTCGCGTACATACTGCGGCATTTAACAGCAAAGCGCGTAGTGATGTTCGTAACGATAACACTGATGGTGCGCGGCTGGACGATGACGAGCCGAGTGACATGCACCCTCTCGAAAACGTGAAGTTTTTCCAATATCGTCCTATCGCCATCCACAGACCGTTGTACATTTATGATAAATAGTATTTTCCAAATGAACGCCGCGGATGATTTTTTTCACCAAACATTATGTAAAACGATTAAATGTTTTTAAAACTATCAAATTGTCTACGTGTGTACGAGTACAAAATGATTTTAATGATGTTCGCCAAACAGGTGTCGCACTCGTGAAATTTATAGGGATGTAGGCAGTGCCGCGAAAACCGGGTGTGCAGAGTGTGCCACGCACACGGGCCCCAAGGCTTACATGCATTTGGGGGCCCCCTAGTCTCAGCCTAAAATAAACTACACTTTACAAACACACAATTATTCAATAATATTATATTAATATTTTATAATAAAAAGAAACTTTTTTCCAAAATACAGGTTAGGAAGTTATAATATTTTAGAGTAATATGATATTGATTTAACAATGAGTCCAATGACGATTTGAATAGGCATACAACATAACTACCTAAGCTACTTAAATAAATTTACTACATAAATATGTAGTGAAGTATAATATACAACAGTTGTAGGTATTTCATTTGATATATATACATATATAATACACTAACTGATGTGAAACGTGTTTTAAAACTTAAAAAAATTGATACTTATAAATAAGACGTACAACAAAAATAAATCCTTGGAAGGGACCTAATATAATTACCGCACACGGGCCTCCTATTTTGTAGTTGCGGCACTGGATATAGGGAACACGAGTGACTATGCAACGCTGACATTGTTACACGGACTACAATCGATTGACCAATAACAAATATACGTTGATATAATTGAATAATTGTATTTTACAAAATAGTGCACAGTTATAATGTCAGTTGATTTCATGCCGACTAAAAATAATGCCTGTACCATCAGCTTCTATAATCGTTATCTAGTATAGAAATGTTCAGTGTAGTAGTGCTGCAGCAGCATCAATGACGTGCTTAGGAAGATTTTGTAGCAGAATCAATAAAATTTTCAACAATTACTAGGTGCTAACTTTATTTTTCTAATATGGTACAAACGTGAGCGTTTTAAAAAATAATCTATTATTACAGCGATATTTTGAGAGAAAAAATTAATTCGTTAAATGGAATACTTATCATTACAAGCGGATAACATGCGTTTACGTCAGACCACCTATTGTTTACGAATGACAGAATTGCATTAGTGTGTGAGTGCTTTAAATCATTTCAATGTAAGTTTGTACTTTTGTCTTTCGTATGTACGGTTTTATGTTGAATTTGTTGTTAGAATTCCATTCCATTTTACCCAAGCTTTAAAATAGAACTGTTATATCAGGCTCATTAAACCTTCTAACATTATATTTAAATTACTTAATTATAATTAATTATTAATTACTTAATTTAATTTGAATACTCATTTGTTTTGACTTTGAATTAGTTTGTATTAAACCGTTTTTATATTTTAAACAAAAAAAAAAAAGTATGAATCGTAGTAATTAACTGAAATAAATACGTTGAAATAGTATATTATAAGTTTCATATTTCAAAAAATCTATTAGTAATTTATCGTTAATTGACTAAAAGCACTTTTAATTTTAAGTTCATGTTTTATAATTTTCGTTTATTTATTTAAAAATTTATTATAAATATATTATAAAATCCAGTCTTAATTATCTTAATTTAAAAACAGCATTGTAAAAAATAAATTTTTTAAAAGTTTATTCTTATGTTGTTTAGTAATATTTTAATTGCGTTTATGTTTAAGATGCTATTTGAATATTTTTCAGAACCAACCAATTACCCTAAGATATAACTATACTTACGTACATTCCAAGTAAAATGTGTATATTATTAATGTATATACATTTGTATAGGTAATATTGTTTATATGGTTGTTCAGTAAACATTTACGCTACTATAACACTGAAAGATTCCTAATAATGGTTTGCTCTAGGCTATTATATTTATAACTAGGAGTTATAAACAGAGCACCATTATCAATTTAGTTAAGTTATTAAATATAAAAATTATTTTAAAATGTGAACAAAAATGTATTTTTTTAAAATAATTCAAAGAAAAAGGGACAAAAAATAATTTCTGTAGTTTAGTGGAATGAATTGTTTTTATCCTGATGTTTTTTCTTTTTGTGTATTTATTTACGATTTTTACGAGAAAAATTGTTCTGATCATCCCAATCATTAGTGGTTTTCGATAGGAAATGTAGTCTAGTTAGTATTTCAAGAAGTTTTTTTTAACAAATTTCCAGTTAGCTTTTTAATAATTGCATATAACTGAAAAATTATGAAATCTACGACATACCTAGTTTCGACAGTCGAATTTTTGTTATAATATGTTCCTAAAAAATAATGATCTTAGAGACTTGAAATTTTTACTGAATGCTTATATAAACGTTTACTGTATAAGTAAATGGTAAAATTTTAAATATTTAGATTTTTTTTAAAAAATTATAATTAAAATTATTATTATAATAGAATTATAATTCTCAAAGATGTAAGGTTCAGCCATTTATTAGATTCAAAATCGATTGGAACGTATTTGGACGTATCCAAATACATTAATAAAAATTCGATTATAAAGCTCAAATTTCTTAAGAAAAATCGTTAGAGATAAACTTTTCTGTTGGTTATTTCTAATTATTTCTTTCTTATCATATCATAAACCATTTATGGTATGTACAATAAATTGCGATGACGATACAGAAATTGATGCAATCAACGATATAATCGTTGTGGAGCAAAGTAAAAACACAGTCATTTTAAGGATCAATGTAATTTTTCAAGTCAATCGTGTAATAGGGAATTACACTATACGTTCAACAAATAATATCATGAAATTGCTTATGTCACGAAAATACCTTACTTCATTCAACATACAATGTACAATCAGTGGTCATTCGAGTTTCAACATCGTACTTACATGTACTCGACGTATATAATACGTATTATATAGTATTGTAGCAAAATAAAGTTAATAATTGATTCAAATTTTTGATTTTTATTTTTCAACTTAGCCTATAAGATTAATTCGATTATAAGACTCATCTACATTTGTGATGGCGTCCACTGTATTTAAAATTGTCAAGTTTTTTTTCATGAAATGTTTATTTTGTTTTGATAAAATGTTTTAAAAATATAATAATAAAGTTCCATGTACATATCTCTAACTAGTTAATGGAAAAATATGAAAGTTTGGTATTAAATTTTGATAAAAATTACGAAAATCTGGTACATTTTTGTAGTTCGTGAAACATTCAATTTTTATATTTAAGGCTTGAAAATTGATCAAAATATTTTTCATAACATTTTCTATGAAATGCAAAAAAAAAATAGTCCCAAAATAGTTTTAAAATTGTGAGAAAATTAAATGAAGACTAAATTAAATATTTCAATCTATTTGGAATATACGCGAAATAAGTTATTTGGTTTTTATTTTATAAATAATAATAAATTATAATTATAATCGTACCTTCTCAAAACATTAACGAAGTACTTATATTAGCATTTTAAAAATATTTCATAGTTTTCGAAATATTTTAATGACATTTGTAATTCTTATCAGTTTTTGAAATTTGCTATTTTTCCTAAACTGTAATTGGTTATATTTTGATAATATGAAGGACCATAATAATACGTGTATTTTTATGTCATTTAATTACCTATCTAAATGCTTTTATTTGTTTTTTTCAGACTAAAAGTTTGATCTACCTATTATTAAGAAATTTGGTTTTATTTAAGCCAGTTTTATTTAGAAATATCAACCCGATCTCTTTCACTTAGAATCATTTTTTTCAAAAACAATTGTACATTGGTTTCAAGTTTAAAATAGCAACACAGCAATATCATTTACCGGCCCGATCGCTAAGTTTCACCCGACCTAAAAATTTTGCTTGATTTTTTAAATTATTTTTTACATATATAAGTTATTATTAAAACATAAAACATACTTTTTTTTAATGTACTCTTTGTATTCATTTAAAATTATAGTTTATGAAAGTTTTTATTTAGTTTTATTATCCAAAAAAATATACTCACATATAGTAATTATATAATATTACATTTTAGGACTGTTTCTTGTTCAAATTAATATGGTGTCATAGAGCATTGACTTGAAAATTATTTTACAATTTAAAAATTATGTAATGTAGTAAGTAATGTAATAATAAGTAAACGGATTTACTCTTGAATATTTTGTATTTTGAATCGATACTTACTATATCTCAATTATAGTAAGAATGACTCAATCAAATACTAGGTCTTGCAACTGGTTAATTCTCGAAAAAAAAAATTAAATATATGATGAGTAATCACATACGATTCAATCATTTCGGAATTTATTTTAGATTATTAGTTTTGTTACCTATAGTGACTTATAAGAATATATATTGATTAAATTTGTTTTAGCATTGTAATTAGAGTTTGGTGGAATTCAAATTTATGGTATCGAATCACACTTTAACTTAATTAAATCATTTTCATAGCGAACCGAACCTAAACCGAACTGCTATTACGTAAATGTCATGTAGTACTATTAATTTTAATGTCGAACTGAACAATTACATTTAATATGGAATTTATCTAAACAATTGTAATGCATTAAAGTTTACAATTTATTTAATACCTATTAGTTTAATTTAATTTGGTATTTCGTTGAATTAATCTTATTACGCATATAAAAGTGTTAAATATTAAAATATTAAATAAACATTAAAATGTTGGTTCAACTAAGAAAATTTGAACTGAACTTTTAAAGTTAATTTCTATTTCATACAATTTTAAGAAGTCTGACACACCTTGAGTTATTATAGTAATTTTTATAAATATCATTTTTGGTGATGTAATAATTAATTTAATTTACTTACAATAAGCTTTGTATGTATATTTTACTTTATTGTTCTTTAATCTTCAAGATTTCATGTATCCGTGTGAAGCGAATAGGGACAAATTGATGTAGCCGTTTGGACGTGGCCGTTTGGATCTAGGGACAAATGGACGTCAAATATATATATATATATATATATATATATATATTTATAAGTAGAACCCGGATTTATATGCATTTAAAAAGTGTCAAATATGAGCATATATGCAAAGAAAAAGTGTCTAAATATGCAATTATATGCACTATGTTACACTTTATAAAATGTGATTTTTTTTTTTAAAAACCACACTTTTGTACCAAATAAAATTCTAAATATTTTATCAAAAACAAAAAAAAAATAATAATATCCACTGCTTTATATGTCAAATCACTTAAATCAATCTAAAACTTTTAGGAAACTTAAAAACGTGAATAAAAAAAAAAAAAAAAAACTAAAAATAAATATTTTTGATTATTTGAAGTTACCTAGTCTCAAAAAACGAATATAAAACTTAAAAAAAAAAACCTAAAATTTTAATTTATTAAAAACCCATTTAATATCCATGTTTTATGCATTTATGAACAAATATGCAATAACCCTCGAAATATGCATAATATGCAATATAATATTTGGTGTTTAAATTCTTTGTGATATGAATCGTGTACATTTTAAACCTCTATAGATGTGCATACACTTAGTACAAGTATGCAAATGCATATAAATCCGGGCTCTATTTATAAGTCATAAAACCATTGATATTTTATGTTCATAATATAATCAATGGTATCGTAATAATTATCACACTTTATCGAAACACAGTGATACACGAGACACGACAATACACATCTATAACCGTGTTAGTCGTGTACAAATTGCATTCAAGTGTACATGTAAGATGTCATTAGTTAATTCAAATCGCGATGGTGAAGTTTTATTGAATGAATATTTTTGACATTAAAATTTACGTATTATAATAAATATAAATAACTTATTTATTTTATTTACTGATTTATATATATATATATTTTTTGTTCTCACGTCCATTTGTCCTAGATCGCATGTGAAGTTATTTATGGTGTATAATACATATTAACATAGTATATCTTTTCCACTTTTTTAAAATATTTAGTTTCTTCAAACTATAATATTATTTCATTATTCATTAATCATAAATATTTATTAAATTTTTTATTTTATAATTTATATTAATTTTGGTATTAATTCAGGAATTTATAAAATTAATTTTTTATATAATTTTCATGGGTATGAAAAAGAAAGTGAAGGATTGTAGTAGTACATATTTTTTTAAATTTGAGCTTCTACTATTACAAGAAAAATGCAAATCAAATTTATCTAACCCCTATGTTAACACTAGATTTAAGAAAAATGTAAATATTAATAATCATAGATGTTATAAATCTTTTGGTTTCAAAAGTACATTAAATACTGCAATTTCTCTTTGTAAAGACTTAAAAATAAATATTAATATCTTCAATAATTGTAATAATTTTAATTATACCATATTAACACTACTCTAAGCTCTAACGTATAATTATAATTTATGGATTCTTTCCATCTGTTACTATTATTATAACTTTTTTTCTTTTTGTTATTTTTATATTGTAATTATAATTTTTGTTTGTTTTTTTTTTTGTTTCGCTACCATATTAATCTATTATTTTCTGTTTTAATTTATTTGTAATTATGTTCATTATTTAAATTTATATATTAAGAACTCATCACCTTCAAAACAAGCACAGCTTATAGAAGGTGAGCAAACGATATCTTCATTATTATATATTCAAGTGTATTATTTGTTTGTTTGCAAATTGTAAAATAAATACAAACAATTCTGTAATAATTATTATCTCATTATTTAATTAATTGGTAAGATTTTAAGTTTTAAATTATAAATTAATTTTTAGTTAGACAAATATTCCATCAAATAATCAAAAATACATAAAAATTAAATTAAACATTAAAATGCTAGAAAATATGTGTTTTTAAATATTTATTATTTAACTATATTATATTTATTATTTAATGTTAATGTAAGTTGTCAGATATTTAAGTTCAATGTAATAAAATTAGCTTATACATTTTCAGTAACACCAGTAAGCAGTGGTGTTAGTAATTATATAGTTTTATTGTTTATCATGTCAACTGTATAATATAGAAAATATAAAATATATTAATGATTATATTCTAAATAGTTTTATATTTTGAACAAAGAACATGATAGTATTTAGACGATTGCTAATTAATTAATGAATAATTAAACAATACAATTATTGTACTAGGAAACCATTTATAGCAAAATATGAAACTGGTACCATAAAATTAACTGTTAGTATTTTCAATATCATAATCATGATTTTTTGATACATATTACTGAAGAGTGTAAAAAGTTTCAATCTACACTTAAAGTATTGCTGAATAACCTATTATTAAATAATGATTGACCATATATTAGTTGGTATAAGATGTATAAAAGGAATCACGTAGTAGAGAGATGTAAAAAATCGAGACGAATGGAGTTTCAGAACAAATATGGCAGACCCAAATAGTTTGGAGAAAGGCGAAGCACAATAAAAATGAATAAGATGTATCGAGACTTATTTTAGTAAGAGGTATGAGCAAATAATTTACTATTTAAAATATGAATAAATCAAATTAATTGTATTTTCCAATAAGTTTATTTCGATAATGATTTAATAATAATAATTATAATAATAATAATAATAATAGTAATAATAATAATATTAATAACACAAAGTATTATTAAAGTTATAATATGAGTCGTAATAATTTATATGACGTTTATTTTTCACTCCAATAACAATAAAATAATATATAGTGACATGTCAACAATATCATCGTGTTCTATAGGTACACTCTATGTTATTTTCTTCTCCAAACTAATGAAGAAGTAACAACAAATCGTACACTATATATTCAATGATTTTTAACGGTTGACAAAAAAAAAAAAAAAAAAAAACACAAATTGGTTTAAATTTTTTTGTACTTTACATAAAGACAGAGAAATATAGATAAAATATTAATAAAAAAAAAAAAAAATGTAACACTTATATCGACTAATCTACAAGTTTTCTTAATTTATTTAACCTCGTAGTAACAACAAGTGTTCTAACTCGTCAGCCGAACGTAATAGGAAAGCCGCCGACTCACGATATCCTGCTATGAGTTGTCTTACAGTTACTACGTCAGCTTTATTCAAAAGTTTACTGCTTGGTTGTGTCGGTGGTGTCGTTTGGTTAAGCATAGAGGGCTGTAGTGGAAGTGATGATGCGCCACCGGAGATACTAGATGGGGTGGACATCGTTGGAAACAATTGTAGCATACCGGTAGTAGAAGACGAGTTGTTACTGCTTACTCGTCGATGGTTGACCGTAGTAGTAGATGTTGATGAAGAAAGGCCCCTGAAACCAGAATTACTTGTATATCCACTTCCTATTGGTACCGGTGGTGTAGAAGCCACTATGTTAGTATCGATTGTTGTAGTTGTTGCAGAAGATGTCTTATTAAGGCTCAAGTCAGTGGGCCCAGTAGCTTCTATAAACATAAAACAAATTTTAAACTTTACCTAATATTAATTTATATATTTTTAATAACTTGAGTAAAAAAGCAGATTTTTTTTAATTAAATGACTTATTGAAATGAGAAATTAAAAAGTTTAACGATTATTTATCATATAGAATATTGGCATAAAAAAATAAAATAGACATTCAAATCGTTTCGTCTTACCATTATTATTAGGAGATGAAGAGGTAACATTAGCTCCACATGTAACAGTTATTGTGTTCAAATCTTCCGTTGTAGTGTTATTGATAGAAGTTAAATCACTAGCAGTAACACTTCCTGTAGAAACGTTACCCTCACGACCGCCGTGAACATCTTGATTTTCTGTTTCATCATTACCGTTGTGATGATCAGTATCAGCTTCGTTAGCATTGGAAGAAGACTTATCAAAACTACTATCGCCAACTGCAGCATCTTCATCAGACGAAGTTGATGACATTTGCAATTTCGTGCCTCCATTTCCATTTTGATTTAAAAGTAAAGTACCAGCTGGTTGTTGAAATACATTAGAGACTGAAGTAGGAGTAACTGAATATGGATAAGGCTGAGCCACGGGTTCAAGGCCTAGACGCATTCGACGAGCATTATCTGATTCCCGCTGACAAGCAACTGCTAATATTGTTTCGGCTTGAGCACTCGTTAAATGTGCAGGAGTAGGCCTTTGCTGTAAAATAAAAGTCATATAAATAATAAAAATAATAATTAGTGATTATCTTTTAAAGTACATACCGGTTGTACAGATGGATCGGTAGAAGAACCATTGGCTGGCCAAGGATTAGTGGGTGGAGGAGGCGATGATGATACAACACCACCAGATTGTGGTGTGTTTCGCTTGTTACGACGGCATGATTTTAAGTAAGTCCTGATACGCTTACGTGACCTATCTGAAAGTTCAGGAAACTGTCGGCCACATGAATCGATAATAGCTTGTACCTTATCTTTGGGTTGTCTGCTGATAGGCACTTGTCTATCCAAATTTTCATCCACAAACAATCGAACAAACATCTAAAAAATATATATGTATATATATATAAACATATAAATTAGTTTACTATAATTGATGTGCTAAATATACGTATAATAAGTTTATTATTATATACATGTTATGCACAGTTGTTAAATTTGTTTGAAAATTATTTTTTGCTTACATTAAACGCCTTTAAACGTTCTGGATCGATATGCTGTTGTGAGGATGATCCAATCGATTGTCGGTGTTGTTGTTGTGATGAAGAGTTTGCTGTAGTAGATGTAGTAGAAGGTTGTTGCCATTGTTGGTGATAATTTGTAGTGATTCCAGAATCAGTGTTATCATTCATTTGAGTATTGTTTCCACGGCCAGTACGCTGTAATTGCCTTAAACGGCGGACCTGTTGTCTACGCAATCGTCGAGTGTGTGTACTATTACCATCACCACCATCTACTGCTCTATCATTTTCCTCTTCTTCATCAGCATCATCTTCACCTTCTTCAATCTCATCGTCATCCAAGTCTTCTTCCTCTTCTTCTTCGTCCTCTTCATCTTCTTCGTCTTCGTCATCATCGATTGCTGGGTCTTCTTCGTCAGCGTGTATTGCATTTTCAGTACCAGTTCCAATTCCAATATCGTTTCCAGTGACATTACCATTTGTAGTGGTTACTACCATACCATTTGTCTCTTTGGACGCTAATCGATATGAAGTCGAAGGTGATGAAATTGGTGGTGGTGGCAATGACGGCAGAACTTGTGATCCAACAGTAGCTGTGGCCAGAGAATTAACAGACGAACCAAACAATTGTTGGAATTTCGGAGGTGATGACAAACTATGGTGATGCTGTTGGTGTGCTGCAGTAAGAAGACCTAGTGGTGGCCAAAGCACAGTCGTCGTTGTGGTTGGGGGTCCAGTTACCGAAAAACTGCCATTCTCATGTAGACTAGTACCACTAGTAGTTGTATCTGCATCGCTTTCTAAATAAGATTTAAAAGTATTTTATTAATTTATTAAAAGTAATGACAAATGCTTATGTAATACATTTAATTAATTATATTGTACTCACTAGAATTTAGTGGTCTAGGCGAAGGCGATGATGTTGTGGAAGAAGTAGGAGTTCCACTCCGCCGATATAGCTGTTGTTGCACTGTCAACCCAGTTCCACCAGAACGACGTTTATTCGAACCACTAATATTATTGTTTGGATTGAAGTGATGAGCCATTGGAGGCAAAGATAGTGGCAAATTTGGAGGTGGTGATGTCGAATCACCTGCCGAAGATGCTGCAGCCGCGGCCGCGGCCGCTGCAGTAGCCGCGGCTACTGCAGCCGCAGCGTATTGTTGTAGTTGCTGTTGAATATGCTGGTGATGATGATGATGTGCAGATGACAATCCTACCCCAGAAGCTGAATGGGGTGGTAGAGCAAGTGGTGCTAATGGTGATAATGCATGGTGGTGGGCAAGATGTGAATTGGGATGCAATGATGATAGTCCACTAGGTGATATGCCACTACCAACTGAAGATGGAGGACTAAAAAGCAAAGCAGCAGCAGCCGCAGCTGCAGCAGCAGCCATAGAATTGTCATCTGCAGACCCGTCTACATCCATCATATTAGTGTTATTAACAGAGTCGTTGGCCATGTCTAACCAATGTCGATGAAAATTGTGATGTGTGGTATTACTGGTAGTAATCGTATCCAACGACTTCTAAAAATATAAATTAAAATAGCTCAACATAATTAAATTAAAAGTCCAATATCTTCTAATTAATAAATGTATTAAAAAAATATGTTTTTTTTTTATTTCAGGTAAAGCATTTATAGTTTCATACTAAGTGGTTTGATGTAATTACGAACTAATGCTTTGTTCTGCTATTTTATATTAAATAATAGTATAACATAAATTTTTACCGATAAGGAAGATGACGAAGATGTGGCTAATCCATTCATAATACTTCTCGAGTTATGATGCATATGATATGGATGATGACCACTACCGTTAATTCTTTTGTTCATGGGTGAATGCATAGCCGCACTCTTTTCCTAAAATAACAATTATCAATTAATAAAAAAAAAAAATTAAAAAAGTAAAAACTAGATAAAGTAATCTGCGATTGAAATAAATTATTATTAGTACCTAATTAAAAAAAAATGTATTAGCTTGTAAAAATATAAATAATAATAGTATTGTTTAAAATATTCGTATGTATACAAAATAAAATCTATATTTTTTGAATAAAATACACAATATTTTCAATTTTTAAATGACAATGAAGTTTTTATATTTTTGTTAAATCATACATTTTTATAATAATAAGTGAAAAGATGCGAGGTTTGGGTGTTTAATTTGTGATTAAAAATTATTAAAATAAAATAAAACTTATTTCTACTTTATTTTATGTGTATTTAATTTCGAAAAATAATAAAATATATAAGAGCCTGTATTACATTGTAATCATAATAGTATTATAATATATTTTTATAGTAAATGAAATATAGAGACTACAGATTTGTTTTTAATTTCTATGTTTATTTATGCTACTGTAATGGATAATTGTATTTTACTAAACAATAAGTAATATTTTGAGTTTTATACATTCCATATAAAATTAAATATATATTGGTATTTTAAGTCAATTGTATCAAGTATTTTATATGTCTTTAGTTAGAAAACAATGCAAAACTTAAATAAATATAGCTATAGATAATACGAAAAGGTTATATTTCATCAAATAAGTAACCAGCGCTCACATTATCTATCAATTTATTTGGAATTTTTAAAAAAGTGTTTTTCATACTATATAGTACGTATTCAAAGTATATTTGTAATTTTTTGTTCACATAATAAATAATACTGATAAATCTAATAAATACAATTAATCTATAGATGAATTATTTGAATAACTAACAATTACATAAGTACCTATCGTCTATTAACAAAACTTAAAATATTAAATGTTTATTACACATTTATATATAATCAAGCACTATTTATATTTTGGATATAGAAGTATTCTTTGAATTATATATTCTATTATATTCTGTTATAATACAAATATTGCTGTAGGGCGAATTTTTGAATAGGAAGATGTTGTATCTGGATGAAATATAATCATTCCATTGGTGAACCTAATTTGACATTAGTATTTATTGTTTATGATAAAAAAGGAATAAAAGAAAAATTAAATGTTGTATCTTTAGTTGTAATAGGAAAATCGTATGGATAACATTAATAACCAAGGTTAACTGGATTAAAACTGGCACTAGGATTAATTAAAAATAATTAAGTTTCTGATGTTTAAAAAAAAAAAGTTTTTACGAGATTTACTAATATGTTGTTCTCTGAATAAAGAAAATTAACAAATTGCACTGCAAGTGTTATTGATTTTGATAACTTATGGGTTGGGTTTGTGAGGTAACTGAAGAGTAATAATTAAGTCGGAATGGCTGTTAGAGGGAGTCTGACATAGCCCTTAGAAGAATAAATGGGAGGCGTAGAGGTCCGAGATGAGTTTGGACAGCAGGACTGATTCTATTATTACTACTATGGTTTCTTCGAAACACTAGTGGACATGGTCGAATTTCGGTGCTGTCAGAGAAGGGGGGTAATGACGGCAATAGCAATAGAAGCAGGCGGAGGACATTGACGACAACGGGGTGGATTAGTAGTACCGCCACTACCATCGCCCAATACCGGTACTATTACTATTACTATCACTACCACTACTGCTGCTGCCACTTCCGGTTGAGCTTTGTCGACATCGTGGCTGGAGGGTGAGGTGATGGTGTTGGGAACAGGGTGGAGGATGTATAGAGGGGGTACGTTGGGAATAGGGTACCCGACAGCAGAGGCTATATAGGACGAACACTATATATGTATATATAACGGATGCGTGAAGGGCCTTTGGAGCCGGGCCGGATAGGTGGTGCGGTCGCGCACTCACATACACGACACGCTCACATACGCGTCTGTTCACGTACACACGCCTACACGTACATATACACGTATAAACACACACACACACACACGTGCGCACACATACACACATACGAATATATATACGAATATACGCACACATACATATACACATACACATAGAACTGATGAGTTTTCTCCTGGGGGATAATGGGGATAGTAGATAGGTGGTGGCAGCCGGGTCGGTGCAGGAGCGGTGTAGGAGTTGTGACGAGAGAACGGTGCCGCCGCCGGAATTTGTTGTCGGGGACGATGGCAGAGGAAGTGGGGTGTGACAATCCCTGTGTGAACCCTTGGGCCATCGCCACTACCTCCTCTACCATCTACTCTCCTATCGTCCTGCCGAAGCACCCACACCCCTACGACCCCCACAGCACACGTCCACAACGTCACCACAAATGCACACCCCTACCGGCCTGCGACCTCCACCATCATACACCACACTTACCGACATCGAACGCTATAATATATTATTTCTATTACTATTCCAAGAAGAAGATAAAAGATTTCTATACCTAAAAAGTTAAAGAGTTAATTTATTATTGTGAGTACTTGTATAGAGGTGGAAGTTAAATATTTATTCAAATAGTAACTGTAGATACAGCTGTTTAATGTCACCTAATGGTCAAAAGCACTTTTTTATTATCTTTAGTGTAAAGTAAAATTAATTTTAATATTTATTTATATTTAAAATGTTGTATTTCTATGTAAGCTTGAATATTAAAATATTAAAATTGATAGGTACTCAATATTATGTTATTATTAAAGTAAATGTCTGTTTTCACTAACATTAACTTATTCTGTGTCAAGTGTAATGGACAATAAATTGACAGATTTTCTAAGTAGAAAATTCAAGATTATAATCAAACTCATTGAGATACTTATCTAAAATAAAGTAAGGATGAAAACTCATTTTAGAGAAAGTACTAGTATATTCTAAGTAAAATTTGTCATCTTTGAAGGGCGTGGTGAAAATATTGTTGGTGGTGGTAAAAAGGTTTTATACTGTACACAACTCTTACATGTGCCTACACAAAAATACATACATATACACAAATATGAATATATATTTATTTTTATATATCAAATGTATCGTACATGTATAGTGTGCATATATGCACACATATACGTATATAAATACAGTAACTGGGGTGTAAGTAGTGTTATATATAATAGTAATGGTTCGTGACGATCGAGTGGTGAGGGGGAAGTAGTGGTGGCAATAGGGTCTACTAACTTTTGCACAGAGAGAAAGTATGAGGGCAAAGTGAAGTAAAGTAGAGTGGGCAGGGATTGAGGGTAAAAGAGGGCTTTTCGTCGTACCCGTCCTGGTCTCATCGCCGCTGGTTCTGTGGTAGTGGTCCCGTGTGTCCTATGTGTGTGTGTGTGTGTGTGTGTGTGTGTGTGTTCGTCCTCCGGCGAAGGATATTACATAGTAGTGTATAGAGAAGGAACAACGATGCAAAGGAGGTGAGTAGTCGTGATGGGAAGGAGGTCGTGATGATGATTGGGGGAGAGTAGTTATGTGTATGTGTGTGTATACGGTGTGTGTTAGCTGAGTGGTGTGCGTGGGGGTAAAAGTGTGGTAGTGTTGGCGTATGCGGTGGAGGGTAGCGGGACAGCAGGACGAGTATCACCGCCACCACTGCCATCTCCACCGCTGCTTTTGCCGTAGTACTGTGTAGTGTGTATTTTGGACGACTACGACGACGATAATGAAGGGGTGACGGTGACGGTGGTGGTAGGGTGGAAGAGGGTCACAGGGAGGTGAGGATTTGACAGCAACGAGAACGGTGGTGGTGGTGGGTGCTTAGGAGGTACAGGGGGTGGGTTGGAGTGGTACCAATGGTCGGGTAAATAGTGGTGGCAGGGTAGGTCCGTTATAATAGTGACGACAGCGATGGTCAAGTGTACAAATAGGCATAGATTGGTAGTGGAATGAAAACGCATATCAGTAAAAATTAAAAACGGTTAAAAGTTTGCATAAATATACGTAAACAATTTGCCGCCAAAAATATATGTTATCACGTAAGCTGGTAAGTGGATGTGGCGACGACAACGATTGCCGGCGACGACGGCCGTCGCTCTTTTGATAACATTGAGATAAAATTTAAATAATTTGGTATACAATGCACATTATATGTACTATACCATTCTACATAATATCACAATTATAATAAACAACAATAACAATCAGTTATCACGTCCAATATCTACTTCAATTATTAATACTAATATGTACCTTTATAGATCATTCATTGTATTTTGATATATATTGATTAAATTGTTTTCAAATGTTTGTCATTTTGTATACGTAATATTAGTTACTACAATAATTTATATGAATAAATAAAAATCCATGTCATACATGCAGTGAACATTATTTTATCATATACATGTATTTTATGCATTAAAAAAAATTGAAAAGAGAAAAATTAATGCCTAAAGAGATGTATAATAATATAATTAATTTAACTTATACTCTATTCGGTATTTATAAATAAAATATTCTTATGAAAAATATATACTAAAGTATAAAATCATATTATTACCTTTAGTCCTTGCTTCCGTTTGGCTGACATAATTACTTTTGTATAAGTGAAGTTTAGATAATGTTTGGATCGTCAAAGTATTTATAATAATAGGTCGTCTACTTCATTTTCGATTATTTCGATTTCAAAATGTCAATATTTTTTAGTACAAATGGTATTTTGAAAATTAATTATTTTACCAACTGACTAATTCACTAACAAATATTTAAATGATATAATATCTTTTATTGAATGATACCGAATTAAACTATATAAATACTTTCAATGTTACTAATATGACTAATATTTAATAGAATTGTGTTACGGAAAATATTTTTAGAAACATTTTATTATCTACATTTAGAAAAAAAACGATGTTAAATATATTTATACATTTATTTTTGAAAATTTCCCGTATAAATATTTTTTACTCGACGGTGAGTAGATATTACGTGAATATAAAAATGGCAGAGAAAAAGAGAGAGTGAGTAAGAGAGAGCTCCAAACGTGTCGTTGACTGGCTGGCTGGCTGCCGA